ACAGTACCTCACTGATATTTAATCTGTACTTCTTTTACTACCAGTAAGATAAACATTTTGTAGTATGCCCTTGATCATTTGTGTATTTCCCTTTGCAATCTCCTGCTGGCATTAGTTCTGGCTTAATCACTAACCTGGTGTTTCAGGCACACAACTTAGGTGCTTGCTGTCCCATGTAGTGGCACACCCAACCCAGAGGCCAGCTTCTTAAAATGGTAAAGAGACCTGTAAGCTAAATGTGCAAGTAGTGAAATAAGGGCCAGATCTCATTTAGAGAATAGGAAGGATTATTAGATTCACATAAACCTTTGCAGTTTATATTTGAAGAAATTCGACCAGAATTAGAGTGAACAGGGTACTCAGAAGTGACTGAATTCCTAACATATGAGGCCAGTGAGAACCAAAGGCATCATCCTGTCTAGATGCTGATTAGTGACCCCACTGAGTGAGGGACAGTGTTCGCTGGACTCCCAGTCTAGAGCTATTACTGAGACAGTGGCCAAGGAGCTGAGAGATGAAAACGAAAGTGGAATAGCTATAGTCTCAAATCCCTCCTGAAATGACAATGCTAATCAGAAAGAATAAAGAAATGGACACAAAATTCTGATTCATACTCATTTCAGAAAAAATAGCTAGTAAATACAGAGAAATACACATGTAGCTGACAGTTCTCCATTTTTCCTCCTAGGCCAGCTTGATAAAATGGTTTGGACGTGATCAAAAATTGTAACTGGAGAATTCTGAATTACTCATCCCAGAAAGCAGATGATTTTCATTTCATTTGTGGCTGACTGGTTTACCAAAACATCTCGATTTGGAGGAAATGCTCAGGGTTTTCAAAGATGTGGTTGCCTCTTACCAGGAGCAATTCTGACAACTGTGCTGAGAAACAGAGATTAGATGAGTTGGTGCATCTTCTTTAGAAAGGTCAGAATTTTGAGTACTTAAATCTCTCTCTTTTGTGGGGATGGGACCACATGGAGTAGAATCTTACCATCTTATAAATAATAATAAAAAATACTACATAGAAATACATTGCAATTTATACCATATAGCTTTTAAAGTTGATGGTTAAGCAAATTCCAGGTGTACCTGGAAGCTTTGCAAATTAGAAATACATTAGAATAGAAACAAATTATATCCAAAATTATATTCTAAAATTATATTGGACTGTTATAAACCTTTTTTCTCCTGGAATATAGTTTTGAACCACTGTAAAGAAGTCATAAAAGTAGCCAGATCCTGTCCTGTATCTTAAAATAGTTATCTGTTGAATAATTTATTGATTCATTCATTACTTCTACAAAGAATTGTTCAGAAGCTAGAGAAATGTGCCAGGAATCCAGGAGCCAGAAATCACTCATGGTCTTTTCTTCCAGACCAACAGGAGAATAAAGTATTTCTCATGTTGTATTTGGCCTTTGAATTTAACCTCTATTCTCCCTATCTCAAGGAGAATATTTCCTTTGAAGAATATACATTTTTATCTATTTATATCGAGGGGCTAAACTCAATTTACTTAAACAAATATTCACTGAGAATGTACTATATCCATGAGACTGTGACAATAAGAGGACACAATTCCCATCCTCAAGGATAATCTTTATCTAGTGAGGCAAAGAAGTTTCCACAGAGAAGAAACACAAGGCTCAACGGTAAATTCTATAACCCAAGGTACAAAAATTTTAACTAATTTGTTTACTTGAGGGATTGATGCTGTTAATGTGTTTAATGTCCTTCTGGTATAGATCACTTTATTTTTACTCATGAAGGTCCCTGGGACTAATAGGGAGAAAATTATTTTAAGGATTTAATTTATACCCTAATGAGTTTTCTGTATAGTAGACTTATAATCTGTGTGTGCTGTACAGTGTAAGAGAGCAGTTCTGAGGGTGGGGTGAAGGGAGGGGGCTTTCAATGTGCTTCATTTTAATGAGACTGGGATTTTGTCTCATTATAGAGATTTTAGAAGTAATATATAGTTTATCTATCAAAAATTAAAAAATACATATCCTTTGCCCCAGCATTCCCCAGTGTCAGGACTTGAACCTACAGATATGATCCCAAATACCTACCAAGAATATAGATAAAAAGAATCACTAGACATTTTTTTTTTGGTAATAGCAATTGGAAAATAGGTGACTGCTTAAATAAATTGTGGTATAACCATATGATGGAATATTATACACAAATGAAAAAGAATGGGATTTATATATGCTAATGTATAAAGATCACCAAGATACATTATAAAATCAAAAGGCAAAAGACATACATGTAGTATAGGTAATATTTCAAAATGAGGAAATCAACAGAAACATGGAGACATGCAAAATATTTTTCCAGAACCAATCAAAAGAAACTGTTACTAGGTGGAAAAGAAAGGTGGAGGGTAGTGTACAGGGAGGGAGAGTTCATTGATTTTTGAAAAATGATATGAAATGACTTCAATCATTTTTTTAATGGTTTCAATGCTACTTTTGGTGCAGTTCAAAGATTTTAACCTTAGACATGTATTGCTTTTTTATTTTATTTGTTTTTATTGTTAACATGGGTTATCTGGACAAAGAGACAGATTTTTTTTCCTTTTCCTATCTGCAACTAAGAAGTATTCTAAGGGACACTGTATTAAATGAACACAAAACAAGGAAACAGCTGAAAAGAAAAATGCCAGGGATCATGCCCCCAGCAGTATGGCAGACAGGAGAGCCTGGATTATTGCTCAAATGAAAAAGGCTGGATAAAATATAAAAGCACTGTTGTTTTAAATGTGTCACTGAGCTGGCAAACTCATCTGAAATGAGATTGAAATAAATATATTTTTATAGAAATAACTATTGGATGGATCTTCACTAAAGAACACAGAAATATTCCAAGGGATTTATTTCAGATAAAAGGGAAATGATTTCAGATGTTAAGATCAGAGATGTAAGAAGAAAGAGTGAGAAAAGCTATTAGTAAATATGTAGATTCCATACGATTCCAATTAAACTCCCAATAGATATATGTGTGGAATCTGGCAAGCTGAATCTGATATTTATATGGAAGAACAAAGGTCCAATCTTAGCCAAGATACTCATAAAGGAAAAGAATAAAGAAGGCCTTCCTTTATTGGATAGTATAGACTTATAAAATTAAAATAACAAAGTCAGTAAGTAATTAGCAAAGCAAAAAGCAAACAGACCCATGGGTAGAATAAAGATCCTATAAATAGGCCCTTGCATGTATATGAAAACTTGATTTATGATGGAGAGGGCACTATGGATCAGTGGGTAAATGGAAGGACTGTTCCATTAATGATTCTGAGACACTAAAAGCAATAGACATAAAGGTAAAGACTGTTAAAATTCACTACATTAAATTAAGAGTTTTTGTTCATCAAAAGACACCATAAAAAGTAAGACAAGCTAAGAACTGGGAAAAAAATGCTTGCAATACATATAGCTGAAAAAGGGTTAGCATCCAGTATATTTAAAGAATTCCTATAAAGGACAACTCAGAAGAAATAAGGGCAAAGGCACAAAAAGGGATTTAATGGAAGAGGAAGCACAGAGGTCCTAAACTTATTAAAAATGTGTTAAGCTTCATTAAGTAAGAGTGTCTCTAATATTTAACTCACAAAGTGATCCATTATGTAACTACCCATTTGGCAAATTAAAAAAAAGCCAGGTAACACTAAATGCTGTAATCTGCCACGGGCATCCAGTAATCTGCCAGTGCTGCGCTGAAAGGCCTCGAAGGAAGAAATGGCGTTATTATATACCTGTTTTGCCACAGCTGCATAAATCACGCAGATTTACAGTGATTTGCATATGCCCTGAAACAATGGTGAAGATGTAGAGTGAGGGAACCCTCATCTCCGTTGGTGCAGGTGTAGATTCATATAACCAATTTGGAGAACAGTTTGGTGTTCCACAGTAAAGCTGAACATGTGCATACTCTGCAAGAGCAATCCTACTCTGAGGCACACACCTGGGGAAGTGCTGACACGTGTAGTCAGGAAACATGTACAAGAGTGCTCACCATTAAGGGTGATATGGACACAAAACCCAAGTTCTGTATTAGAAATTCCACTCCACATCATGGCATACCATGAATCAGGAATGCAACATAACAGTGGTAACATGGATGAATCCCCAAAAATACTGAGCAAGGAAAGTAAGAGAGAACACATGAAATATGATTCTACTTATATAAAGTTCAAAAATGGGAAAACAAAAAATACAGATTGTTTAAAAATATATACAAAGGTAATAATTTATAAAGAAAAACAAGAAAACGAGTAATTCAACATTCAGGATGGGGGTTAGCTACAGAGCGAGGGGAGAGGAGGAATGGTGACTGGAGAGGGGTAGCCTGGGTATGCATCCTAAGGGGCCTGTAATACTCTACTTCTTAAACTGAGCCAGGTTTGCTTGGCATTCATTTTATACTTTAAATTGGATAGTACATCAAATAAATTTTTTATATATATGATGTATTTCATGAGAAAAAAGTATACACACACCTTTCTGAACATAATGGGGAACAGATTATATACCAAAGGGAAAAAAATTATCAATCGATTTGCAATGTGATTCCCTAGTTTTTAATCCATTATATATTATTATCCGAGTGATATATCAAGGCATGACTTAGCAAAGCTTAAACACAGAGCTTAGGCAGAGGGACCAGATGACAAACATGACCTCACATGAGAAGCTGTAAATGCATATAGTATTAAGAACGGCTCCTCTGTGCCTCACAAGTAAAACTCTCAATTTCTTAACTCAGTTCAATAGAGAAGAGCTGAAGGCAAGATTCTATGCAAGATGAAACATGCTAGAACTGATGAAGCCACAGAAATGCACTTCAGATGGCTCCAGCTGACAGCAACCTCTAAAGTATACTTAAAAAATAAATTCTTCTACTACAGACACTTATCTCATTTCAGAAGAACTGATGCCTGCTTTACATTGCTGTTCCTGGAACTGATTTTTTTGCAAAGCTGTATAAATGCTTACCTGTGTCTGACCATTTTCTGACCATGGCAGAAATGACTGAAGAACCTCGCATAGAACAAGTGCATGACGGCATGCTCCTTCCCTCCGATGTACAAGTCCACAGGCATCCAGTAATCTGCCAGTGCCGCGCTGAAAGGCCTCGAAGGAAGAGACGGCGTTATTATATACCTGTTTTGCTGCAGCTGCATAAATCATGAAGACTTACAGCGATCTGCATATGCCCTGAAACAGACTGTCAGACAGTGACTTTATTTTTAAAATATAGTAAGAGAAAAGCTTATACGATTAAGAAAAAAGTCAGATGTGTTTATGAAACATATTAAAACTATTTCAGAAGCTGTTACTGACATATTTAAGTGAGATTTTCATATAAAATGAAGATAAGAGGAAAACAGCAGCATAAAAGGTATTTCCCTAAAAGGGGTATTTGAATATCTATACTTTTAATTTTTATTTAGACAGTTGAGATGTTTGAGTTCTTGCCAATAGGGGGCAATGTGACATTTACAATGGAGATTAACATGCAGGCACTAACCATTGATTTTAAAAACAGAAATTCAACCTCATTTTTAAAAGCAGCCTTAACATACAGATAAGTCAGCAAGAGTCTGTATCCTGTCTCCTGAATGCAAGGTGCACACTTAGGGTAACTGTCATAAAATAACCAAACAACTCTCTCTCACCTATTAGATATTTTTGGTTGACAGAGATCCTACAAGAAAGTCTCCCTTACACTCCCTGGTCCTGATAGATGCTGGTGGGGAGGAACAGGGGGAAGGAAAGGCAGCTTCTCTCAATTTTCTGATGGGGATCTTAAGTGGGGAGTGTCTGTGGGTGTGCAGAGGTGTGCATGCGTGTGTGGCGGGGGATGGGCAGCAGTGCTGGCTGGGGACAGACCGCGTCAGTCCCAAGGTGACGTTCTCACCTGAGGTCATCCAATGAAGAAAACCTTTGCCTTTGGAAGATTTATACTCCATGGTTTCATATACTTGTGAGTTATCTTCCTTGTACCCAAGACTCTTTTTTCTGCATTGAGGACTTGGCTGGCTTCAGCTCAGGCTGGAAGCAAGAGCTTGCAGTCCAGCAGTAAACCCGACCCACCACCACATGCTGCATCTTAATGCTGCTTGTTTTCCCCTCCTCCAGTCACTGTGTTAGAATTCTTGTAAAATTAAAAAACATTTTTTCTGTTGTGAAAAATGATTCCCCAGAGAAATCAAGCTGCTAATCCAGGTGACAGAAAAGAAAGGGAAGTCAAGGATGGTACTTATCCCAAGTGACTAGGGCTCAGATTTATGATCAACCCCAGAGGCCATCCATGGAGATCTCCAGCTAACGGCAGCACTTTACAAGGGAAATGGTGCTAAATGGTGTTCCCAAATGGGGGCTGTGAAGACCTCAGGATGTATCTCTTACTAGGCAAGGGTCTCCTCACTGTAATTTTGAGCTCACATCTGTAAGGTTTTCCTTTGCAGCATTCTGGCTGGTAGGGTGCCTGACTCCCTTGCACTCCAAGTAGCTGTCACTAAAAGGAATGCACCCATGGCCCCTTCAAGCAGGAAGACCCAGAAGAGAGGCCCTTCTGGGTGAGCCACAACCACCTGGTGCTTGCCAGCCACAGCAGTCGCCTTGTGCCCCTTTACCTTTGCTGGCTACTGTTGACAGGATCCCACTCACTCTGGATTGGCCTGAACTCCGATTACAGAAGTGCAACACTGCAGGTGGGATTCTGGCAGGTGGAGGGCAGGAGCACCCACCTCACTGGAAACGTATTATTTTACAACCACTGAAGAAAAAGGGGCATTCTTACACATGGACTATGGGATTTCACAACAACAGTTCCTCCACAGGCAAGATAACCGGGCCTTCAGAGAGTGGTGTTTGCAGTTTTTCCTGAGCTCTGCAGTAGCTTTCTTGTGCTCTCATTCTCTTTTACCTACCTATCTATAGCTCTCTTTCCCTTATTTACTTTTGTCAAAGAAACACAAACTTGGCTGAAAAATAGAATAATTTACAGGTCTATAATTTACAACAGTGGTCTCCATTCCCATTCCTTACTGGCTACCTGTCTATCCTTTAAGGCTCTTTGAATTCTTTTAGCTATTTCTTCTGGCAATTATTAAAACATGTTCATACTCTGTTGATTTACCAATTGTAGGAGCTACTGCCCACCTGTAATTATAGAGATGCTCCCAAATTCTCTCACACTGCCTCTTCCTACCCTCTCTGTCCAGTGGCATCATTATTTCCAGTTAGGCAAACAAGATTACATCTCTACAATCGTGTAGACGCAGTTCACGCAGGGCCAAGGAGGGTGTTATAACAGCCTCCCCTTCTTTCCTCTACTTTTTATTTTTCTGGTACTTGGGGTCTGCTTAGTTGTGATGAATCTAATTTAATAATCTAGCACACTCCCTCGGGAGAACCTGTTTTTTCAAGGAGCACAGTGATGAATGGCTCCCAGCGATTGCATGTGGAACCACACAGTGGCTCTGGGCAGCCCACACTCTCCCAGAGGGTGGGGACCACAGCAGAGGCGTTTCTGCCTGACTTGGGCTTCTCCACTGAACACATTTTGCTTGGGGCTTCCTGCTGGCCTGCTTCCTTCCCCCTATCCCTTCTCATGTTTCAGACCTGCACTGAGGTCTAAGGGCTGATCCCTCTGCCTTTATCCTTTCAGGCATTTCCCCCAAGAAAGCTCTTGCACATCTAATTCCACCTTGGTGTTGGCTTTTCAGAGGACTCAAGCTGACACACACTCACAGAAGTCAGCAGGGCTTTACCTGTGAGCATTCTGAGGATCAGTGTATCTGAGGTAGTACCATGCAGAATCAACAAAGGTGTCCATCGTGTCTGTCTCTCTCTTGGCTGCTCCCTTGCACCTAAGAAACAAAGTTCATCAACTGGTTTCCTTCTCTCATGTAGTTTTCCACCAGCTTCTTGAGAAAGCTATGACAATTAGTATCAATTTAAAATGTCATAAGAACAATGCCACATCATGAAAAGACAAGTCAGAGAAAGTATTCTTTTTGCATTAGACAGTATATGAGGTTTTAAAGAAATTTACAAAATAAAAATTGCAGTCTTCAATGATCAAAAGCCTTATTCTCCACTTTTCCTGATAGCAAATCTAACTACCTGACAGGACGAGACAAGACTATGTATCTCTTTTGCATGTTAACTTCCCTTTAGGTATGTCATGATTGCCTTCAGCCAATGCCTACTTTATAATACATATGAAGCAAATCAATTTTTTGTAATACTTATGAAGCAAAGAAAAGTTGAAAACCAATGTAGAGAGATGTTGCATTAAAAAAATGAGCTTGGGTTTTTCCTCTCTGCTCTAGGGTGAGGGGTACAGAAATTCATTGGGGTGACCTTAGGAAGATAAATAACCTTGGGGGCCCAAAGGCAGTGGTGTGCTGGAGCCAACTCATACTGGCTGTGAGAATTTAGCATCTCTTTCCAACTTGGTGATAAGTGATATCAAATTAGTAGCCTGAAATTAGCCCTTGGTGGGAGCACGTAGATTACAGAAACTGGCAAACACTACAAACCAGAAGCCCTACTCCAGAGAGCTATTTGGGACATTTACCAACACACCCCTGCCTATAGATAGGTTCCTGACAGAAGGGTGAAGAGAGCCCCACTGTTCAAGAAAGTGATGAAAGTGAGATCCTTTGTGTGTGAAGGGCTGAAAAGAAAAAGCAGTCCTCATCCCAGGGACAGAGATGCCAGGAGGACTAAGGTCCGCGAGGGCCCAACTGCTGAACCAAGTCTGAAGCACATTCCCAGGATGAGCGGCCTGCCTGTGGGACTGGAAGAATGGAGTGCCAAAAGCCACAGGTCTAGGCAGCCAAGAGGGGGAGCCCTTGGAGCAGGGCTCAGCGCCCCGTGAAGACTCTCAAGGCCAGGATCAACCGCAGATGGGCTGAGGCAGCTAACAGGGTCCCTCCGTGGCAGTGAGAAGACACAGCGGAACACGGCTCAGGCTCCAGGCTCTTCCTTTTGAGGTGGGACCGACCACCCCTCTGAATGCTGTCCTTCTGGAAGGGTGAGTCCTTGGGGGCTCTTAGACAATTCAAGGTGGGACATGAGGAGACCCAGGGGGAACTGATAAATCTTCTGTTAATTTAGCATTGACTCTCTTTTAAGTTTAAAAATAAATTTAAAAACAAATGAAGGGTTGCATTTATATTTTGCATCTGTGAAGGAGTTCATATTGGCTTTACAAATACTACAGAAGGAAACAACCACTCCACACCTCCTGCTTATTAAATGGAAGTGGCTGAGCAAAGAGGCAGGAGCCCCAGACATGGCAGGGCTTATCAGAAAGAGCCCTGAGGGAATACTGTTTGCTACCACCCACGGCTGCAATAAGACACTGATCTCAACAGTGCACCTGTAAGTTAAAGCCAGGTCTTTTTATTTGGAGAGCAATCAACCAGAACACAGATACTATTTTGAGAGAAATATTTAACAGATAAAAGTTATTTCTTCTCCTTCACCATGAGTGCACCTGCACAACTTAGGAAGAAAATGCAGAACTCAACTGCATTGATGAAGGAGTAACAGCTGGTTATAACTTACCATGCTGGTTTTCTTTTTAATAGTCATGTTGGACTTGACTATGGCCAACAAGTTTTATTGCTGAGTCTAAACTGTGGGTGGTATGGAAGAGGCAACTTAGTAAGTGGAAGGGACAGGTGATGGTGACGGTGATGGTAACAATGTCATTAGCTCCGACAGCAATAATTGGCACTGAGGCAAATGCTTCCTAGGCATTACTTCATTTAACCCCCAGTAACCCTGGAGATTGTGAGGTAGATACTACCCATGTACCCATTTTGCAGACAAGTAACTGGGGTTCACAGAGGTTAAGAAATCCACCCAAAGTCTCAAAGCTCAAGAGGAAGGAATCCACACCTGCTGGACTGGGGTGCCTGCTGTCCTTAGCACTGTGCTGCCCTGCCTGGCCACACTGGCTTAGTGCTGTCAGCCCTAGATGCACATTAGAATCACCAGGGAGCCTGGACCACTACCTCGGCCAGGGCTCTGCGCTCCAGGAATCTGCAGCATGGTAGGCAACCTATCCCCAACAACAAGGCCCTGAGCTGCTACAAATGGAGCAGGAGGCCATCAATGTCTCTGGCAGGGAAGCCCTTTGTCACTGCTTATCAACACAGAGGATGTGCTATTTTCTGCTGGAGTGCCACATTTTTATCCTAAAACAGCCCAGAGCTTCCTACATGCCTGCCTACAAACCCCATCTCAAATCTCAAGACCAGCTGGGTGAGGACCTGGCAGGATGGTTGGCAGGTTCCTGGCAGGACAGGAGGCAGGCTTCCACTCACTGAATGCTCGCTATGTGCCACCGTGCAGATTATATGTGCTAATTCCAGTCTTCCAAACAGCCCTTCAAGAGGGTTATTTTAATTCCCCAAAGGGAATCTGAGCTCAGACAGGTTAAGCGACTTTCCCAAGGCCACACCCAGTTAGGAGGCAGGGCCAGGACTTGAATCTATGTGCCCGGATTCCGCAGGCTGAGTCTTGCAAGTGTCCTATGTGGTCACCTAATTACCAGTCAGAACTCAGCTCTCCACCGGCAGAGGACTAAGTTATTTTAAAACATCCTCATCATAATCCGTAAGGCAGAGGAAAATGGCTTCTCCACAGTGGGAAGAAAGAAGATCCTGGGGCTTGATACCAGTTATTTATTTGTTTAATCAGCTGGTATGGCATCATAAAAATCACATTTAAAGAACAAAAAGGTACCCTACAGTATGGGAGAATATATTTGTAAATGACAGATCCGACAAAGGCTTGATGTCCAAAATAAATAAAGAGCTCACATACCTCAACAAACAAAAAACAAATAATCCAATTTAAAAATGGGCAGAGGAACTGAACACAGTTCTCCAAAAAAAGAAATATAGATGGCCAAGAGACACATGAAAAGATGCTCCACATCGTTAATTATCACAGAAATGCAAATTAAAACCACAATGAGGTATCACCTCACACCAGTAAGGATGGCTACCATCCAAAAGACAAACAACAACAAATGTTGGCGAGGTTGTGGAGAAAGGGGAACCCTCCTACACTGCTCGTGGGAATGTAAATTAGTTCAACCATTGTGGAAAGCAGTATGGAGGTTCCT